GGTATTGGTACACCTGGGGAAGGGACCTGAAAGTTTAAAACACACCGCAACAATCATCCTGGAAGCTTCTATCCTTACGGTAAAGTGTCGATTGTTATTTTAGCTTGTGTCCAGGAATTTGTTATAATCTGAATAGATAGCTGCTTTCGGGCCAAGGCGTTCAGAGACATAGTTATGGATTTCTACAATCTTTTATACCATACATCAATAGCATGAATTATCCCTACCATATATTACAGCAGATACTAAAAAGGAATACTATATGTGTTATGTTGTATTAATTAGTAGTGTAATATATGTTTTAAAATAATTTGTGCTAAAGGAAATTAAAAACCACAGCATTTCGTGTATTAAAGCCAGTGTCAGGCAACAATGAGTAATAGTGTAGTAGCGTAGTCTAGCAGTAGTAGTGTAGCAGTAATAGTAATAAGTGATAAGGATGGAGATTCAAACACCAGGAGGATGACTGTCTCAAGAAATGTATATTTCAAGGGATTTTTTCGTCTGATAAGACCCCAGCAGTATTCACCAGTTCTAAGAAACACAGCACCAAAAAGGAAAACACTACAATAATATGCTAAAGAAGGGCCCCTTCCAAAGCCCAAAAAACTGTATAAAATGAACCCCTTAGATATGACATTTGGAGACACACGGGGAATTTGTTGAGATAAATCCTGGGTATCTCTGACTCCGATCGCCTGGCTAAGAGTCAAAGTGCTTTTGGCTTTTTCCGAATTTATTCTTTGATTATTTAATAAATTTCCGTAATTCTTAAATTGGAGTATTCATTTATACCAGTAATAGTGTATTTTTAAAGTAGTGAGGTAAATATAGTTTTAGGTTATAACATAATGTTAAAATAGAAACTGTGCGATGTAAGATACTTTTTTAACTAGCTCAAGAAAGGGATGAGATAATCAAGAAATTCTTTGCACCGAGATAACAGCAACAAGACACCTAAATCCCCAAGAGAAGAATTATTGCCTCCTTATCAGAAAAGACCAATTTTTTTTCCATCTCCTTCCTGCCTGTGAGGAGCCAAGAGGATTAAGGGGGAAAAGTTGACAATAACCAGAGAATACCCTCTGTTTGAAAAGAATTTATGC